AACCCATCCTGTGTGATGGAGTGTGACAGGGGTAACCCATCCTGTGTGATGGAGTGTGACAGGGGTAACCCATCCTGTGTGATGGAGTGTGACAGGGGTAACCCATCCTGTGTGATGGAGTGTGACAGGGGTAACCCATCCTGTGTGATGGAGTGTGACAGGGGTAAACCCATCCTGTGTGATGGAGTGTGACAGGGGTAACCCATCCTGTGTGATGGAGTGTGACAGGGGTAACCCATCCTGTGTGATGGAGTGTGACAGGGGTAACCCATCCTGTGTGATGGAGTGTGACAGGGGTAACCCATCCTGTGTGATGGAGTGTGACAGGGGTAACCCATCCTGTGTGATGGAGTGTGACAGGGGTAACCCATCCTGTGTGATGGAGTGTGACAGGGGCAACCCATCCTTTGTGATGGAGTGTGACAGGGTAACCCATCCTGTGTGATGGAGTGTGACAGGGGTAACCCATCCTGTGTGATGGAGTGTGACAGGGGTAACCCATCCTGTGTGATGGAGTGTGACAGGGGTAACCCATCCTGTGTGATGGAGTGTGACAGGGGTAACCCATCCTGTGTGATGGAGTGTGACAGGGGTAACCCATCCTGTGTGATGGAGTGTGACAGGGGTAACCCATCCTGTGTGATGGAGTGTGACAGGGGCAACCCATCCTTTGTGATGGAGTGTGACAGGGGTAACCCATCCTGTGTGATGGAGTGTGACAGGGGTAACCCATCCTGTGTGATGGAGTGTGACAGGGGTAACCCATCCTGTGTGATGGAGTGTGACAGGGGTAACCCATCCTGTGTGATGGTGTGTGATAGGGTAACCCATCCTGTGTGATGGAGTGTGACAGGGGTAACCCATCCTGTGTGATGGAGTGTGACAGGGGTAACCCATCCTGTGTGATGGAGTGTGACAGGGGTAACCCATCCTGTGTGATGGAGTGTGACAGGGATAACCCATCCTGTGTGATGGAGTGTGACAGGGGTAACCCATCCTGTGTGATGGAGTGTGACAGGGGTAACCCATCCTGTGTGATGGAGTGTGACAGGGGTAACCCATCCTGTGTGATGGAGTGTGACAGGGGTAACCCATCCTGTGTGATGGAGTGTGACAGGGGTAACCCATCCTGTGTGATGGAGTGTGACAGGGGTAACCCATCCTGTGTGATGGAGTGTGACAGGGGTAACCAATCCTGTGTGATGGAGTGTGACAGGGGTAACCCATCCTGTGTGATGGAGTGTGACAGGGGTAACCCATCCTGTGTGATGGAGTGTGACAGGGGTAACCCATCCTGTGTGATGGAGTGTGACAGGGTAACCAATCCTGTGTGATGGAGTGTGACAGGGGTAACCCATCCTGTGTGATGGAGTGTGACAGGGGTAACCCATCCTGTGTGATGGAGTGTGACAGGGGTAACCCATCCTGTGTGATGGAGTGTGACAGGGGTAACCCATCCTGTGTGATGGAGTGTGACAGGGGTAACCCATCCTGTGTGATGGAGTGTGACAGGGGTAACCCATCCTGTGTGATGGAGTGTGACAGGGGTAACCCATCCTGTGTGATGGAGTGTGACAGGGGCAACCCATCCTTTGTGATGGAGTGTGACAGGGGTAACCCATCCTGTGTGATGGAGTGTGACAGGGGTAACCCATCCTGTGTGATGGAGTGTGACAGGGGTAACCCATCCTGTGTGATGGAGTGTGACAGGGGTAACCCATCCTGTGTGATGGAGTGTGACAGGGGTAACCCATCCTGTGTGATGGAGTGTGACAGGGGTAACCCATCCTGTGAGGTGGAGTGTGACAGGGGTAACCCATCCTGTGTGATGGAGTGTGACAGGGGTAACCCATCCTGTGTGATGGAGTGTGACAGGGGTAACCCATCCCGTGTGATGGAGTGTGACAGGGGTAACCCATCCTGTGTGATGGAGTGTGACAGGGGTAACCAATCATGTGTGATGGAGTGTGACAGGGGTAACCAATCCTGTGTGATGGAGTGTGACAGGGGTAACCCATCCTGTGTGAAGGAGTGTGACAGGGGTTACTCATGCTGTGTGATGGAGTGTGACGGGGTAACCCATCCTGTGTGATGGAGTGTGACAGGGGTAACCCATCCTGGTGGATGGAGTGTGACAGGGGTAACCCATCCTGTGTGATGAAGTGAGACAGGAGTAACCAATCCTGTGTGATGGAGTGTGACAGGGGTAACCCATCCTGTTTGATGGAGTGTGACAGAGGTAACCCATCCTGTGTGATGGAATGTGATAGGGGTAACCAATCCTGTGTGATGGAGTGTGACAGGGGTAACCAATCCTGTGTGATGGAGTGTGACAGGGGTAACCCATCCTGTGTGATGGATTGTGACAGGGGTAACCCATCCTGTGTGATGGAGTGTGACAGGGGTAACCCATCCTGTGTGATGGAGTGTGACAGGGGTACCCCATCCTGTGTGATGGAGTGTGACAGGGGTACCCCATCCTGTGTGATGGAGTGTGACAGGGGTAACCCATCCTGTGTGATGGAGTGTGACAGGGGTAACCCATCCTGTGCGGAGCGTGACAGGGGTAACCCATCCTGTGTGATGGAGTGTGACAGGGGTAACCCATCCTGTGTGATGGAATGTGACAGGGGTAACCCATCCTGTGTGATGGAGTGTGACAGGGGTAACCCATCCTGTGTGATGGAGTGTGACAGGGGTAACCCATCCTGTGTGATGGAGTGTGACAGGGTAACCCATCCTGTGTGATGGAGTGTGACAGGGTAACCCATCCTGTGAGATGGAGTGTGACAGGGGTAACCCATCCTGTGTGATGGAGTGTGACAGGGGTAACCCATCCTGTGTGATGGAGTGTGACAGGGTAACCCATCCTGTGTGATGGAGTGTGACAGGGGTAACCCATCCTGTGTGATGGAGTGTGATAGGGGTAACCAATCCTGTGTGATGGAATGTGACAGGGGTAACCCATCCTGTGTGATGGAGTGTGACAGGGGTAACCCATCCTGTGTGATGGAGTGTGACAGGGGTAACCCATCCTTTGTGATGGAGTGTGACAGGGGTAACCCATCCTGTGTGATGGAGCGTGACAGGGGTAACCCATCCTGTGTGATGGAGTGTGACAGGGGTAACCCATCCTGTGTGATGGAGTGTGACAGGGGTAACCCATCCTGTGTGATGGAGTGTGACAGAGGTAACCTATCCTGTGTGATGGAGTGTGACAGGGGTAACCTATCCTGTGTGATGGAGTGTGACAGGGGTAACCCATCCTGTGTGATGGAGTGTGACAGGGGTAACCCATCCTGTGTGATGGAGTGTGACAGGGGTAACCCATCCTGTGTGATGGAGTGTGACAGGGGTAACCCATCCTGTGTGATGGAGTGTGACAGGGGTAACCCATCCTGTGTGATGGAGTGTGACAGGGGTAACCCATCCTGTGTGATGGTGTGTGACAGGGGTAACCCATCCTGTGTGATGGAGTGTGACAGGGGTAACTCATCCTGTGTGATGGAGTGTGACAGGGGTAACTCATCCTGTGTGATGGAGTGTGACAGGGGTAACTCATCCTGTGTGATGGAGTGTGACAGGGGTAACTCATCCTGTGTGATGGAGTGTGACAGGGGTAACCCATCCTGTGTGATGGAGTGTGACAGGGGTAACCCATCCTGTGTGATGGAGTGTGACAGGGGTAACCCATCCTGTGTGATGGTGTGTGACAGGGGTAACCCATCCTGTGTGATGGAGTGTGACAGGGGTAACTCATCCTGTGTGATGGAGTGTGACAGGGGTAACTCATCCTGTGTGATGGAGTGTGACAGGGGTAACTCATCCTGTGTGATGGAGTGTGACAGGGGTAACTCATCCTGTGTGATGGAGTGTGACAGGGGTAACCCATCCTGTGTGATGGAGTGTGACAGGGGTAACCCATCCTGTGTGATGGAGTGTGACAGGGGTAACCCATCCTGTGTGATGGTGTGTGACAGGGGTAACCCATCCTGTGTGATGGAGTGTGACAGGGGTAACTCATCCTGTGTGATGGAGTGTGACAGGGGTAACTCATCCTGTGTGATGGAGTGTGACAGGGGTAACTCATCCTGTGTGATGGAGTGTGACAGGGGTAACTCATCCTGTGTGATGGAGTGTGACAGGGGTAACCCATCCTGTGTGATGGAGTGTGACAGGGGTAACCCATCCTGTGTGATGGAGTGTGACAGGGGTAACTCATCCTGTGTGATGGAGTGTGACAGGGGTAACTCATCCTGTGTGATGGAGTGTGACAGGGGTAACCCATCCTATGTGATGTTATTCTTTGCTTTCTCTCGAAGTATGGAATGCATTACTTGTATTGCTTGTATTGCATTGCTTGTATTGTATTGCTTGTATTGTATTGCTTGTATTGTATTGCTTGTATTGTATTGCTTGTATTGTATTCCTTGTATTGTATTGCTTGTATTCCTTGTATTGTATTGCTTGTATTGCTTGTATTGTATTGCTTGTATTCCTTGTATTGTATTGCTTGTATTGCTTGTATTGTATTCCTTGTATTGTATTGCTTGTATTCCTTGTATTGTATTGCTTGTATTGCTTGTATTGTATTGCTTGTATTGCTTGTATTGTATTGCTTGTATTGTATTCCTTGTATTGTATTGCTTGTATTCCTTGTATTGTATTGCTTGTATTGCTTGTATTGTATTCCTTGTATTGTATTGCTTGTATTCCTTGTATTGTATTCCTTGTATTGTATTGCTTGTATTCCTTGTATTGTATTCCTTGTATTGTATTCCTTGTATTCCTTGTATTGTATTCCTTGTATTCCTTGTATTGTATTCCTTGTATTCCTTGTATTGTATTCCTTGTATTCCTTGTATTGTATTCCTTGTATTCCTTGTATTGTATTCCTTGTATTCCTTGTATTGTATTCCTTGTATTCCTTGTATTGTTTGCTTAAAAGTCAAATAATAATTTTACAGTTTTTCTAATCTATTATTTTCTTTATTCTACAGATGTCTCGACACAAGATATGGGCGGTGGTGTGGGCGGCGGTGTGGGCGTGGGCGGCCGCCCAGTACATAGGGGAGGAAAAACTCTCTAACATACAACAGACGGCAGTGTGATTAGATTGATGTTTCATGGGCGCGAAATGTCCGCTATTGGCGTGTCAACTGTTGACATTTGTAAAGGTAACTTCTTAGTGCCGTGTATACCTACAGTATGAGTCACTGTCCATTACTGAGCCACAGTAACGAGTGGCAACTGTCCAGTACTTGTCACAGAAATGATGGACACTGGTCCCCAGTTACTGCCACAGTATGAGACTGGCACTGTCCAGTACTGCCACAGAAGAGTGGCACAGTCAACGACTGTCACAGTAAGGAGTGGCAACAGGAGTCAGTATCTGTCACGTATGAGTGCCCTTCCAGTACTGTGCACAAGTATAGTGGCACTGTCCAATACTGCCACAGTATGAGTGGCACTGGGTCCACTTACTGGCGACCACAGTAAGAGTGAGCACTGTCCAGTACTGGTCGACAGAGTAAGGATTGCCCCTGTCCGTACCAGTCACAAGTAATGATGTGCACTGTCCTGTACTGCCACAGTATGAGTGGCACTGATCCAGTACACCGACAGTATGAGTGGCACTGACCATTACATGTCCAGCAGTAAGAGTGGCGAACTGTCCAGTACTAGTCCCAGTAATGAGTGCACTCGTCCATACTAGCCACAGTAATGACTGGCACAGAGTCCAGATAAACTGTCCTAGAGTGGCACAGACCAGTACTGTCACGAGTAATGAATTGGCCTGTCCAGTACTGCCACAGTATGATGGGCACTGTCCGAGTACTGCCGGACAGTATAGTGCCCCTGTCCAGTACTGTCACAGTAATGAGTGGCACTGTCCAGTACTGTCAGCAGTATGAGTGGCACTAGTCCCGGTACTATGCCCTCAGTCATGAGTGCCCATGTCCAGTACAGTCACAGTAATGAGTGGCACTGTCCAGTAACTGTCACAGTATGATTTGCAACTGTCCAGATAACTGCACAGTATGAGTTGACTACTGTCCAGTCCAGTCACAGTAATGAGTGGCACTGTCCTGTACTGTCACAGAAATAAGTGCCCCCTGTCCAGTAACTGTCACAGTATGAGTGGCACAGTCCAGTACTGTCACATGTCATGATGGCATAACCTTGGTCCATTAAAATACCTGGTCTCACAGTATGAGTGCCCACTGTCCTAGTACTGTCACCGTATGAGTGGCACAGTCCCAGTACTGTCACAGTATGAGTGGCACTGTCCATACTGATGGCCACAGTATGAGTGCCCCTGTCCAGTCCTGTCAACAGTATGAGTGGCACTGTCCAGTACGTCACAGTATGATTTGGCTACTGATCCTAGTACGTCACAGTATGAGTGGCACTTCCAGTACTGTCACAGTATGAGTGGCACTTTCCTCTTACTGACTGTTCACAGTATGAGTCACATCTGTCCAGTACTTCCACAGTATGAGTGGGCACTGTCCCTGTACTGTCACAGAATGAGAGTGGCATTGTCCCTTACAGTCACAGTATGAGTGGACACTGACCCCAGTCCGTACACCGTATGAGTGGCTACTGTCCAAACTGTCACAATAATGATGGACACTGTCCAGTACTGTCACAGTATGAGAGGCTCTGTCCAGTACTGTTCTCAGTAAGATGGCACTGTCCAGTACTAGTCACAGTAAATGAAGACACTGACCAGTACTGTCACAGTATGAGTGACACTATCCAGCACTGAGTCACAATTAGATGGCACAGTTCCGAGCTGTTCACAGTTTGAGTGGCACTGTCCCAGTACTGTCACAGTAGGAGTGACACTGTTCGGTGCTGTTTACAGTAATGAGTGCACTGTCCCAGTACTGTCACAGTATGAAGTGGCACTGTCCAGTACAGTCACAGAGTATTATGAGTGCACTGTTGCAGTACTATTCACAGTTATGAGTGGCACTGTCCAGTACTGTCACAGTATGAGTACACTGTACGGTGCTGTTAGCCAGTATTATCGCACAGTCCGGTGCATGTCCACAGTTTGAGTGACATCTGTCCAGTACTGTCACAGTATGAGTGAACGCACCAGTACTTGTCCAACAGTATGGAGTGGCACGGAGTGCAGTACTATCCACAGTAATGAGTGGCACTGCGTCCAGTAACTGCCCCAGTACTGAGGTGACACTGTTCCGGTGCTGTTCACAAGTATAGTGACACTGTCCAGTACTGACACAGAAGAGTGGCACAGTCCAGTAACTGTCACAGTCATGAGTGCACCTGTCCCAGTACTGTCCGTATGAGAGACACTGTCGGTACTGTCACCGTATGAGGTGGCCACTGTCCGCTGCAGTCACAGTAAGAGAGGCACTGTCCCTTACTGTTACAGTATGAGCACTGACACGTGTCCGAGACACTGTCACAGAATGAGTGGCACAGTCCCATACTGCCACAGTCAGAGTGGGCACTGTCCAGTACTGTCACAGTGTTTTGAGTGCGAACAACTGTCCAAGTACGTCACAGTATGAGTGGACACTGTCCATGTACTGTCCCACAAGCAGTATGAGTGGCCACTGTCCCAGTACTGTCACAGTCTGAGTGGCACTGTATCCATGATACTGTTCACAGTGTGAGTGACACTGATCCGTACTGTCACATGTATGAGTGAACACTGTCCAGTACTGTCACAGAATGAGTAGACACTGATCCAGTACTGCAACAGTATTACAGTGAGCACTGTCCAGTACTGTTAAGTAGGATTGACACTGTCCACTACAGACCGCAAGAAAGTGACACTGTCCAATAAATTTGTTGTTTGGGACAGCATCTGAAAACCCATGTAACCAGGGTGGTCAGTGTTTGGTGACGTTTGGTGCGAGTCTCTCAGAATGCTTGAAAAACGCGACTCCGATAAAGAATTGTTCAGGACACAAAACATGCAATATATCAAGGCCTGTTATAGAATACACAGTACACAAGCGCATCATTGAGCCCACCAAGCTAAAGTGGGTCTTCTCTGAAACTCAAGAAAGTCAAAAGACCTGCAACTGAACTAGTCCGGGAGGTCGGGGGGGGGGGGGGGGGGGGATAGAAAACGTCCAATAGAACGCAAGAATTTATCTGTAGATGTCCAGGGGTTCTAACCGGATCCATACGCCCCCATAAGGTATGGGAACCAAAATAATAAGGTTGTGATTGAATGGTTTGAAAACCGACAAGTTGAAGATGAGACACTTATGCAGCAATGGGAATCTTTATCCAGGAACGCCTCGCCACCAGTGGCTTCATCAGTCCAAATACAAAAGAGGAAGGCGGTAAGGAGATGAGAGTATGAGGTCATCAGTCCCTCCAACCTGGGAGTCGATGTGTTCAGTCCATGAATCTTGTACGAAAATTCTACCTATGCTCGTAGTGTCTCAAATCTTCAATCTATATGGGTATGGGAAGCCAAATAATGGGGTACGGGAACCAAATAATGGGGGTACGGGTAACACCAAATAATGAGGGTACGGTTACCCAAATAATGAGGTACGGAACCAAATAATTGGGGTTACGGGAACCAATATGAGGGTACGGGAACCAAATAATGGGGGTACGGTAAACCAAATAAAGAGGTACGGAACCAAATAATGAGGGTACGGGTACCAAATAATTGGGTGTCACGGGAACCAAAATGGGGGTACGGTACCAAATAATGGGGTCTACGGTTACCAAATAATGGGGTACGAGTACCAAATAAGGGGGGTACGGTACCAAATAATGGGGGTTACGGGTACCAATATTGGGTTATGTACCAGTCTCCTGAAGATTTAAAAAAAGGTTCAGTTAGATCAAGAATAAAACTCCAGGTGTTGTATTGTTTTAGATTATCCATATGTATAATAATGAACGGTGACGGCATTCCTTATATGACTGTGATGTCATAACGCATAAAATGAACTGGTGGATGGTACCTTATATGACTGTGGATGTTCTGTCTTATATGACTGGAGAATGGTCCCGTATATGACTGTGATGGGACCCGGGGGGGGGGGGGGGTACCATCATATGACTGGTGATGGAACCAATATCTGACTGGTGATGGTACCTTATAAGACTGGTGTGGTATCTTATATGACTGGTGATGGTACCTTATATGACTGGTGATGGTGTCTTATATGACTGGTGATGGTACCTTATATGACTGGTGATGGTACCTTATATGACTGGTGATGGTACCTTATATGACTGGTGATTAGGTATCCCGGGGCCGGGGGGGCCCCCCCAGAAGGGCCCCTTTCCTCATGACTTGATGGTATCTTATAGGACTGGTGATGTACCTTATATGTTATAGACTGGTGATATGTTAACTTTAATGACTGAGGTGATGGTATCTTATAGACACAGGTGATGTACCTTATATGACTGGTGATGTACCTTGTTAACTATGACTGTGATGGTACCTTATATGACTGGTGATGGTACCTTATATGACTGGTGATGGTACCTTATATGACTGGTGATGGTACCTTATATGACTGGTGATGGTACCTTATATGACTGGTGATGGTACCTTGATATAGAACTGTGGTGAGGTACCTTATATGACTGTGATGGTACCTTATATGACGGTGATGGTAACCTTTCTCATAAGACTGGTCACATTGTGTCTTATATGAACTGGTGATGGTACCTTCTATATGACTGGTAAAGGTACCTTAGTATTCCTGTGATGTGCTTATAACTGTGATGGTACCGTTATATGACTGTGATGTACCATTATATACTGGTGATGGTGCTTATATGAACTGAGTGATGTACCTATAGACTGTGATGGTTGTCTTATATGACTGTGATGGGGGGGGGGGGGGGGTACCTAACAATGACTGGTGATGGTACCTTATATGACTATGATGGTACCTTAATATGACTGGTGATGGTACCTTATATGACTGGTGATGTGTCTTATATACTGGTAGATGGAACCTTATATACTGGTGATGTATCTTAAATATGATCTGGTGATGGTAACCTATAAGACTGAATGACATGAAAAATGGTATAAACATACCACAAGTGTTAGGTAATCACAACATATCAAACATGTTA